GATAGAGTCAACCGAGCATATCCGTCAATTTTCTCGAATACAGTTAAATAGTATGACTACTAATACTTTAGGCTTGTTATACAAGTTGGTACATGAACCCCGATCTACGACGATGTTTTTCGGATCATCGACAGAATACTTTGGTCGTAAACATTTCTGCCCGTTACCTGGGATGGCCCTGGACACCTATTGATTCAATATTCCTCTCCTCTTAATGGGACTCTTGCATGGTGTATTTATCAGCTAGCTGTCCTGCTTATGGAGGATGAGTAATACGTTTCGGACGAACTGGTGCACCTGGTTAAACCGGAAATTCCTGATTCGACAAACCAGCGACTGCCTGTGATCTACAACTTAACCGAAAATCTATATACACTATTAGAAGCCCGCGTTACTACAAGCTCCGACCGAAGAGATGCTTAAGTCCGATCATCCATACCGCCACCCCATAATTTGTCCATGTAAGCGACCGACGATCACGTAAAAGCTTTGACACCGCGGGCGGATGAGCGTCGGGACACTTCAATAAGTCACCATGTCTCTTATACTTAAGAACATCGTGCCCAAAGGTTTTGGGTGCCGAGATCGGATTTCGCAACGACAGCAAGCCCGCCATGCCTTCACAACAAACCTTCCGGCGCCATGAGATCCAATCAGCTCGCAATGCTGTAGCTGAAACCATACTTGACAGACACAGTACTCGTGCATTTTGCACTGGTCAAGAAGTTCCGATGTCTGTTGTTGAAGATTGCTTCAGTGTCGCCCAGCACGCTCCATCTTCGACAAACATCCAGCCTTGGAGAGTTACTGTCGCATCTGGTGAGCGGCTGAAGCGACTGTCAGCTGCATTAGTTTCTGCATTTGAGAATAAGGAAGAGCTCAAACTTGATGCTATTCCCGAGACATTCAACCACTACCGCTCAGAACTGGGCCACCATGTCTACGGACCAAATGGATACAACATTGCTCGCGGAGATACAGAGGCGATGACCAAAACTCTCATTGACAACTTTAATTTCTACAACGCGCCAGTAGTGGCTGTCATCTCTATCGACAAAGCCCTGAACAAAGGGGATGTTCTGTCAGTGGGTATCTATCTGCAGACACTTCTTTTACTGTTGACGGAGAAGGGATTGGGCACGCAAGTGTCCACTGCGCCAACTGGATACCCGGACATTATCAAGAGAGAGCTGGATATTGATGAGAACTTGGATCTTCTTTGCACGGTTGGGATTGGATTTGAGAATAAGTCACAGCACATTAATTCGCTGAAGATGCCGAGGGATGACTGGAAACAGAGTGTCAGATTTGTGATGGAATAGCGGAGGCCTGTAGGGTTGAGTTAGTGGTATTATGCTTGATTCTTAGCGCTTTCAGCAGTAAAAAGCCTAGGTTGGCCCCTGTTTGGTGTTCGTCACGACCGAATTCATTCTTTGATCCACCCGGAAAATGTATCTTGACAAATCGCCTCGCTCCTCATGCTAATCTCCTTGGTTCGAGGCAGAAGTTCTTGGCGCCGACCAGTGTGTTGACATAAACGTCTCTAGTGCTGACGTCAGAAATATTTGGTGTATTTGACGATGGTCATAGCGCGAGAGAGCTAAAACACGTAACAGCTCCGCATCTTGACTTGCAGTAGGAGACAAACTTGGTTCTGCAGGTTACCTTTATCAACAGATTCAAGATGGATAACTCGTGTGAGATACCTCAAGGGAAGGAGGTCTCCAGCAGCCAACTCAACGATGACTTGCCGACTGCTGATGTACTCAAGATCGCCGATGGAATTGAGGTCCTTGATGGCAAGGGAGAGAAGTATACCTTCAAGAGCATCTACAGCGGACCTGAAGTACCCCGTCGAGTTCTTGTTGTCTTTGTTCGTCATTTCTTTTGCTGTGTATGGTCCCTACCCCTGGCCTAAACCCAGCTAACACCATCAGTCATGCGTGAGCTACACCAGCTTTCTTGCCCAAAACGCAACCCCAGAAAAGCTACATGAGATAAACACTGAGATCGTGATAATTGGTCACGGAGATTATAGAACAGTTGACATGTATCGCATAGATACGGGCTGCGAATTTCCCATCTACACCGATCCATCTGAAGAGCTTTACAAAACGCTCGGCACGATTCGGACATGGGAAGAAGGACCTCCAAGCAAGTATGTCCCTATCTCGTCTTTTCAGAATGCGTGGTTGTCCATGAAGAATGCGTTTTGGAAGTTACTGGAGGGATATCCTGTGTGGAACTGGGGAACCACGAATCAACAGGGCGGAGAGTTCTTGTTTGTAGGGGCGGGGGATGATAAGCAGGTGACGTGGTGTCATCGGATGAGGAATTCGAGAGACCATACGGATACTGATGAGATTTTGGAGGTATTGGGGCTCAACAAGTGAGGAAGAGTTGACACTTTATGTACAAGAGAGGGCCCGGGATACCATGATCGATAATTTTCAAGCTGAAGTAAGTGTAGTGCTTTTTATCGAAACTATAAGCTGCTCCTTTGTCTTGTAGTACTGGTAGCTTGAGGGTATGAATCACGAATTCTCGATGGTGATTCCAAAGGGTATCCTTACTGGCATCTCGCTTTTAACAGGTGTTCAGACACTGAACAAATGGAAATAGGGCCTTTTCATTTCTTGATGGTTACAGCAATTTATTTTATGCATTTGAAAGAAGTTATGTAAACTGTTTGACTAAAACACTTTCGCTCAAAAAACATCACAAGCTTGCTAAGCCGAGCAAAACAACAATCAACGCTACATAACACCACCTCGGACAAACTCTCATTCGCTGAGATCAAAGAGTATTGGCTGACATCCGAGGAATACATAATCGGACTTAAGAGACGCTGATCTCATTGGCAATACGCTTATCGCCGAGTAAGCTCAAAGGATGAGGTGGGGGCTAAAGATGACATTTAAATGCTGACCCACGTCTCCCAGCCATTCACATCCATAAACATCTCTTTTGAATAGATACGCTGTCATGGAGTTCATTGCTGCAGGTGCATCCTGGGCGCTGGGCAAGGCAACTTCGCCGCAGAAGATTCTGGGGCGTCTTGGCCTCGCATCGCTTGTCGCGCAGAATTCATGGCCTGAATTATCTTCAAAGCTCTCACCTCAAGCGTCGATCGTGTTACGTGATGAATCGTCATTTGGTGGTCTTGTTAGTAGATGGCGGGATTGGCATGGGCCGCAGCCTGGAGCAGTCGTGAGAACCTTCTCCGAGAGCGACGTGCAAGAAACTGTAAGGATGATGAGCCTGAAACGAGAATCCTGCTGACATGCTGCAGATACGATATGCGAATGAGCATGGCATTCCCTTTCTCGCCAGATCTGGAGGCCACGGAGCCACTGAGGCACTACAGCTGGCCAAGGATGTTATTGTTGTAGACCTGCGAGACCAAAATGATGTTGAAATTGCTGGGAATGGAAAGTCTGCGAGGATAGGTGGAGGCGCGAGTGTGAAGAAAGTTGTAAATGAGCTTTGGACAGCCGGAAAACAAACAGGTAACTCAACCACGGTCGGATCAGATCCCCGTGCTAACATGATCTTCAGTCACTGGTATCTGTGAGTGCGTTGGTGTCTCAGCGCCCGTCCTTGGTGGAGGCCATGGCTGGTTGCAAGGCCAATACGGCCTCGCATCAGACCAAGTTATTTCTGCGCGAGTGGTGCTCCCCAACGGAGACGCAGTGACGGCTTCTGAAGACTCAAACCCCGATTTATTCTGGGCTCTTCGGGGAGCAGGACACAACTTTGGCATCGTGACCGAATGGAAGTACCGAATTTACGACATCAACAACCCCATGTGGTCTTATGAGATCTTTATCTTCCTTGGAGACAAACTGGAGGATGTTTTGGAGTTGACGAATAAGATGATGAAGACCCAGCCGCCGCATTTGACGCACTGGATTTACATCGTCAACATTCCTGAGATTGATCCTGACCAGGTAAGTATCCTTTCTCACGATCCAAGGCCTTCTAACAACGAGCAGCCAATTATCTGGTACGCTGTCATCTCAGATGGCGCTGCCCAAGAAGCCAGAGACTATGCGAAACCACTTCACGGCCTCGGCCCTATCAGCGTCAACGCCGGGGAAGCTTCAATGCCCGACTTGGCCGCCATCACGCTTATGGGTGACGATACCGTCGGATGCGCCAAAGGTTTCACAGGCCTACGATATCCAATCGGCCTCAAGACTTACGATCTCTTCGCCGTTCGAAAGGTGTTTAACGAGATCGCCGATATGTCGAAACGTGTTCCCGAGTTCGCTGGCTCATTCTTTCTTCTGGAAGGATATTCAACCCATGGCGTCAAGGCAATCGATGCAAAAGACTCTGCATTTCCTCACCGCGACGATGAGATTCTTGTTACTCCCTACATCCTTTATAAGCCCAACGCGACGCTTGACGGGCTTGCGCAGGAGCATGGTGAGAAATTGAGGAGACATTTGCTAGAGGCTAGTGGAGACCCAGAGCATTTACGCGCATATGTTAACTACGCTCACGGCTTCGAGTCTCTGGAGGAAATGTACGGCCACGAGCCCTGGAGGATCGAAAAGCTCAAGGCCCTCAAAAAGAAGTGGGATCCCGAGAACAGGATGAGATTTTACGCACCAATCGTCTAAGCAAGGGATTCTCAGCCCTGAAGGCCTAGAGTCAGCCCTACGCCGAAACCATGGCAAATCTCACCCGGTCTCACCGAATGGAACAGCGGGACCGCGGCTAAGGCGTATTACAGGACAATATCGCACGCAGATCAATAGCCAAGACTGCAAGATAAAGAATCACAAGATCTTGTGCATGATAATCATTGTCGAAAAGAGTAGCCAGTTCGCGAGGCATTCACGTGACGTAAGCATCCGCGTGTCCCTGACTCTGCAGACGCTAAGCAATCTAAGCTTAAATTATTATCCTTGATGTGATTCTGTTTCTGATTTCTATAAATTCATTCCTCAATCTTCGTCCCAACGTACTTGGTCACCCCAGTAGAAGTGAAAATGCAGCAACAGCCTCTTCGAGCAACGTTATCGTGCAGTTCCTGTCGACAACGAAAGTACGCCGCCTTTTTTTTTTTTTGGCACTGATGACGATGCTGACGAGATACTCAGGCTCAAATGTGATCGTGATGAGCCATGCAGCAATTGCGTAGCGAGAAATGTCTCATGCCAATATGCGCCGTGGCCACGAGGTCGCGTTGCTGCTCAGAGACGAGACAGTAGACAGAATGATCTGAGTGATCGCGTGCGCCATCTTGAGCAGCTTCTTGGAACTATTGTTCAACAACTTCCTGCTCAGCAGGGGACGTCCAATGGGTCACCTAGTATCAAGAGCCCGGCGAGTACCTATGTCACAACATCTCATGTTACAGGATCCAACCAAGGATCTCATCAATCTTCTCAGGAAGGCTCTGAGGTCAAGCCTGGCAGGATGATGGCGAATCCTAATGAGACGATTTATGTTTCTAGCAGTCACTGGTCTGCTATTTGCCACGAGGTAAGCAAACCACTAGTCGCCGGAACGTTTCTGACTTGACAACAAACCAGGTTGAGCATATTCGCGAGCATCTGGACGAAAGTCACGAAGCGAGTGATTTGGGCATAGTCGATCAAGCTCAAAGTCAAGTGCCCCTTCTTCTGGGACCTGGAAGACTAGCCCCGAGCCTTGAAGATATCCTTGCGGATGTCCCTCCGAAGCACATCACGGATAGACTTGTATCTCGTTATTTCACTTCGACTCAGCCATCAATCTGTACGTCCAACTCTTGTTTTATAGTACTGCCACTGACGTTTCGAAGTGATCACCCATTCAGGGGAGTTTGAAGGCGAGGTACGTCTCGTTTGCTCCCGAAGCTTCACCTCGCTCATCTTCTCATAGTACAAACGCTTCTGGAATGACCCCAATTCTGTATCTGTTCAGTGGGTCGGGATGCTCTTCGGCATTCTGGCCACGGGAACATTCTTGTACATCCGATCACAGGATGAGCTCCCCGGAGGAATGGGCTCACCTCTTGAAGTCGCCGAGTCCTTCCAGCAGAGATGTACGGACTGTCTCATTCTTTCTAAGTACTCCACAGCGCCGGGTAAGTATACTCTGGAGACTCTGCTGTTCAATATCCATGGTGAGTTCGTGCGCCGTCGAGACGCTCATCTTGGCGTGTGGATCCTTACCGGTATTGCTATTCGTTTGGCGATGCGGATGGGATACCACCGTGATCCCGATAACTACCCTCGGATTTCACCATTCCACGGGGAGATGAGGCGTCGTGTATGGGGTGTTCTCCAGCAGCTTGACATTTTGACTTCTTGCCAACTGGGCCTGCCGTCGCTTATCCAGGAGTCCCAGTGCGATACACGTCTGCCGCGCAACATAAACGATGAAGATTTTGGCCCTGGGTGCACGCAGCTTCCTCCACCAAGACCCGAGACGGAAGGTACCGGCGTTCTGTACACCCGCGTCAAAGTCAAGATGATGACCATCTTCCGAACGATCTTCAACCAGGTTTCACTCGGCAAGACGGAAGACTACAACGAAATCATGGCGCTTGATCAGAAGCTCCATCAAATGCATCAGTCCATGCCCACTTGTTATAAGATAGCCAAACTCGAAGATTGCTTCATGGTCCCGCCATATCTACTCATTCGGCGATATAACCTTGAACTTCTCTTCCAAAAGGCCAGATGTACACTACACCGCCACCATATGTCAAAGGCATACCATGACCCCAAATATAACTACTCCAGGGCGGCTTGTGTTGACTCAGCGATGACTGTGTTGGGTCATCAAGCTAGCATCCTGAAGGAAGTTCAAGTTGGTGGGCTATTATATAACGACAGATGGTTTCTCACATCCCTTGAGAGACATGACTTCTCACTGGCATCTATGGTCGTCTGCGTTGAGCTTGGCATGCCACCTGAGCAGCAGAGCCCCGAGCTCGTTGGATATAGTCGGGAGAATATGATTGAAGCCCTTAAGACCTCGCAGGCATTCTGGGCCGCTATCAAGGCCGTCTCTGCTGAGGCGAAGCAGGCATACGATATGCTCACGGTGATGTTGAAAGCTGTTACGACTGGTCCAAAGGATGAGTCAATACCGCCAGCTGCAAACCAAGAAAAAGCCCCAGCTCACAACGGCAACGGCAACGGTAAGACTGATGCTCGAAACTATGTGATTTGTAGATTGACGAGGACAGGACACATGAACGGGCAACACAACACGAGCGAGACACCTTTCTCGGCCGAGTTTCAGGGTATTGAGGCCATGTTGAACAGCTCTGATGGCGTAGATTGGGTATGTTCTTCTGTAACGAGACAGTGGTCCGAGCTGACGTGTTTGACTTTTCAGGATATGTGGGAATCACTGGTTCACATGCCCGAGGATTTCTCCCAATATGAAATGCCAGAGGAGCCTTGAAATGAATGCCATTGTCATTTTTGTCTCGTGGTCAAGAGGACGAGCGGGTGGTGACGGATTTGTTGCTGACAGGTGACGCAGTGTGATGAGCGGGGTTCGGTGTAGCATAAATAAAATTTCTCATGCATTTGTGAGCTTCACTCCGTCAATCACCGTGCCATGCTCAACATCTACTGAAACCGCCAATACCACTCCTAAGACTCGAAGCTGCCAACATGCCTGCCCAATTAGTTATATTCGACTTTGATGGCACTCTTTTCGACACCCATCAAGCCATATCTCACAGCATCAAGCTCACCTTCGATTCACTCCTTCCAGCCTCAGCTCCAGCAGAGTCTGAAGTGCAGAAGTTGATCGGTTCTGGCTTAGGTCTCAGGGAGGTTCTCCGAGCGCTACATACGACTCCCGGCTCTTTTGACGAGGATGAATGGACGTCAACGTACCGTCGCTTCTACAACGAAGAAGGACAGAAACTTGTATCTGCGTTTCCTGGAGCCAAGGAGCTTTTGATCAAGCTTAATGTAAACGAGGTTCCTGTCGCTATTGTCAGCAATAAAGGCGTAGCCGCGGTCGAGACGGCCCTCGAGAATAACGGCATTGATACCATCCCCAAAGACTTGATCGTCGGAGACAACACCCCCGGCGCAACGCGTAAGCCCGACACTGGAAGCTTCGAGAAAGTTCTACTACCAACCCTGAAAGCTTGTGGACTCGCACCCGTGGACGCCTCGAGAACCTTAGTCGTTGGGGACACAGAGGCAGATGTCAAATTCGCTGCCAACATCGGAGCAAAGTCTGTTTGGTGCAGATATGGATATGGTGAACGGAGCGCATGCGAGAAGTTGGAGCCACATTTCACAGTCGATTCATTAGATGAAGTAGCTGGAATTGTTGACAACATGTGACTAATCAAAGTTTCTTCTTGAGAGGGGCTGCACGGGTCATCAGACGTAACACCTACTTAGAGTTCATTATTGGTCCTGGAGTCTAGGCTGCACCTTTCTGCAATCAGAAAGGCCAATTGAGCATTTCAGGATGCCAATCAGAGACATTCATCTCTGGTCTCGTGCTCAGCTCAGCTCAACTTCAGTGCTTATTACGGTATGAGTCACGTTCAAGTGATCTATTGGGCAGCCCGATGTACGCATGTTCGCCGAAAGGACAAGATGAACAACGATCGAACCCCTCAGAAGAGTCAAGCTTTAGGCTCGTGTATCCTTGAACCATTGGTTCTCATAAAGACGTGCTAGGAAGCTTTCCACAAGAGGCTTTTTCAGACTACGATATACCAACGAGATAGATCAAGGCGGCAAATTGAGGAATCGCAATGAAGCAAAGCCTTTGGAAGGAATTTACGAATGAACTTGATGAACCAGGTCCCTTAATCTAGGTATACAGCTCCATATTGGAATTTGGAAAAATATTCTACAGGTGCCCTTATCTAGAGCTAGTTGGTATGGTGCTGTATGTGATCTGACCAAGGTGTAAGCTGTCGATTAAGCTATTGACCAAGAACTTAGCATGAAACCCTCACGAAATTTACACCAATGAGCTTAGAGGTTGGTGGCCAGTGCCCAAGCTCCTTGTCCTCGCAGCAAGTTACCCCTAGACTTTCTCCTAAAACAATGCGATAGAAGCTTCAAACTCTGTTGTCGCTATGCATAAAATGCAGGTCTTCCCCCCTCCATGTTTTCCTTCTCCCAAGAACAAAGCATCACAATCTGGATTCAAACTCTAACTTGCTATGCCCAAAATGCTCTTCCCTATTATTATGCTCTGCTTTTTCGCAGCTACTGGCACAGCCTGGGATGCCCCCGATATTCCCGGGTTCCGGATCATGTGGCACGACAACTTCAACGGGCCATCTGGGTATCTACCAGATCTTTCCAAATGGAACATCCAACATGGGTACCAGGATCTAAACGGAGATCATCAGGAGTACAGGGCTTCCCCTGAAAACGTCCATGTCATGGATGGCAGCCTTCATATCCATCCGTGGCGCGACCCTACTGCTGCAAAAGGTTGGACATCCGGTCGTATCGAGAGCACGTACACCTTCACCCCTGCGCCCGGTGTCAAGACCATTGTCCAAGCTGGCATCCGTCTTGGTTTTGCCCCTAATGGGAGGAAGTTTGGCATCTGGCCTGCCTTCTGGTTGCTCGGTGACAGCCACCGCACTGGTGGTCCTATATGGCCTGCCTGTGGTGAGCTCGACATTATGGAGCACGTTAATGACGAGCATGAGACTTATGCCGCAATTCATTGTGACAAGTCACCTGGCGGTATCTGCAAGGAGAGAAAGGGTATCATCGGGTCGTACTATCATCCGAATTCGGCTACGGGCTTAGCCACCTACAAAGTTGTCATCGACCGCACACCAGCGATGTGGCAGTATGAGAGTGTAAGCTTCTACGTCGGAGATGAGCTCTTTCATACGATCACGGGTGGGCATATCGGCAACCAGGAGGTCTGGAAGACCATTGCGCAAAACAAGATGTTCATTATTTTCAACGTCGCTGTTGGTGGTGATTGGGTAGGTTGAATCTCTCTTGGTGAACCTGTGAAGCTAATATCTTGTAGCCGGGACCACCTAGTCACTTTACTGCAGAGGGCTCTCAGGTTGGTATGCAAGTCGGATATGTTGCCCATTATGAGCAAGAGGCATCAGCAGAGGATACAGCCTATGCGTCTTATAACTATCCTTACGGTAATCCTCCAGACGAAATGGACTACCCCTACGACAATATCCCTCAAATCCCACCGCCACCGGGTCCACCTCCGCCTCCTGTTGGTGCACCTCCTCCACCACCGCATCCCGTTGGCGTGCCCGCTCATAACTTTCCCCGTATTCCTCGAGTCCCGCATCACCCGCATCAACGTCCTTATAACTATCCCAATCTCCCTCCAGGCCGGCCGCCCTATCTCAGAGGCATGTCCACGAATGCCTCCAACCAAGACGTTGAACACACACAGGACTTGCAGTAAGCAAGCCAACTCAAATGTTCATATTCGATTCAGTGAACAGGGCTGGGCGTTCCATGGAAGATACGATCATGGTAACCCACTTCTCGGGGTATTTGGTATCCTCCAATAGATATCTAACTTGCTTGTGAACCATTGCCATGTTTCTGCACAGACAAGCAGCTTTCACTGTCAACAGCTGGCAGCCTTGACTGAACCTTTTGTTTTCAGGAGTCTAGTTCCAAAGGGGCTAATTTCATCCGTTTGAAAGCAAACAATGGGTCTGTTCAAATGGCTTCTGTTCCATGCCAATAGCATACTCTCATGTCTACCAGTGGTATCAGAGCCTTCATTCACCTTCCGTTCCCCACCTAGGTATGGCTTTCTATCAGAAACTCGACTCTGAATTCTGCTTCTCCTTTTCCAAGTCAAGAACCAAACCTCAATAACGAAGACTTACTCACACTTTCAACGACAAAACTCACCCTTAGATTCTGCTCATCCTCTCTGAAACAAGAGCCAAACCTTAATATCCTCAACACTAAAACCTTGCAACAAAGGTAACCAAGACTCCACCACTCCTGGCATGGGTTCAATGCTGAAAACCAAACTTTAGAACCAGAACTCAACTCCTACAATGTTGCGATTCTTTTCAGAAAAGACGCCGGTTGACCCCAAGGTCCAGGCTTGTCAAGTCGTTAGCAAGGATGTCGAAGACTCTGTTCGTGCCCTCGAGGACTTCGAAATCGAGCTGGACCATGTCGCTGAAGACTATGTCGAGATCATCGACCACGCAGCTCCCAAGCGCCCTCGTGCTGTCTGGAAGGGTACCAAGGAGGTTGGCAACCAAGGCTTCATTGTCGTCATGAAGGACGTCGAGGTTAATGCCGTCATGAAGTACACCAAGGGGAAGGCTAAGCTCTGTGAGGACATTGTCGTTGTGGAGGGATTCAAGGACCCTCGTTTCACCGAGGCTGTTCTTGTGAAGAACCCGAAACACACTCGCGGCTCCGGAAATGTCAAGAAGTAGACGATGAGTCCCAGTGTTGTGGTCAAGATGGAGAATCACGGACATTTGGTTTTGTTGCTGTTCTTTGGGTCGTTGGATGAAGTATCAAGAAGAGATTGGTGATGTAGCATAGCATACTGTGAGCCAACCTGTTTAGTCAGGCGTTCTTTTCGATAACTTAATGAACCCAACCGCGTTTTGCGATAAATCAGATGGTTGCTTATTATGACGCTGATATTATATCAGCCCGTGTTCCATACTAGGCCCTTGTTCAGGCGGTGCCTCGGCTAACACCCAATCATCGGTGCACCACACAAGAGAGCTTTCGTCAACAGCATTCTTATGTAGTAACATGATCTGACAGGCTGCAGACTCGACTCTGAAATTACTTTCACACGTCTTGATTTGCAAGACCAACGATAACCCTTTCATGCCCTACTCGAATGACACGTCCACGAAAGAACCTTGGTCGCGGCGCATTCGAGAAGGTTGTCAACCCATAAGCATTTCCCGCAGCATCGAAAGGATTCCCCAAAGCGTCCTGGGCGAAGGATCAGCTGTGCAGTGGCTATGCCACATTAGGTGGTGCCAAGCCGCTGAGGTGCATAAGGCATTCGGTAGGGCGTTTTTGCAAGGTTGGCCGTTGCGAGTGGCATCAACAGATACTGAAGTGTAGCCAGTCTCTGCATTCTTAGAAGACAGCTTTTCAATCGATGCTGAACTTGGCGAAACGTTCCAAGACGAAAGGACTGATCTGAGAAAGGTAAACGTGGGAGAATCATGTTAGGGCTGTTAGTCTCGATGCTACGCCGCACCACGCATCCATGTTCATGCCCCTGTCAATCATCGTCATCAACTCACAACAAGCTTGGCCCAAATATAACACATGAGATATAACACCTGACAGCCAAGCATTCGCTACCTCCCCGCATTATATATCACCAGGCCGACCCCGAACCCTTTTCGTCAATCGTATCAAAGATCAACAGTGAGAACTCATAACCATGACTGCAACATCCAGCATCCATCTCATCAACCTATGTAGGGCCATCTCGGAGCGCGCAGCATCTTGTTTAGCCGCCGCAGACAACCTAGCCGAACGAGATGGACAGCACGTCCTAGAGCTCAAGGCTATATCATCAGGTCTTGAGGAGCTTAAACGCAGGCTTGCCGAATTGGAAGAGCTCCTCCTTGCAAAACCCGACAGCCGGAAAATCCGCGACACGCGCGAGACTCTCACTCCGCTCTTTACTCTTTATGGAACGGCACTCGAGTTTCTACGTATGCAGTTGGACAGTTGGCAGCCAGAGAATTTAGCAGGATTGGATAGTGAATTCTTGAAGGCACATGAAGGCTGTCTTGTCGTTTACAATTACATGCTCGAAGTTTGCACCCCCCTTGTCAGGTACGTTGCCCATCTCAATATTGACTCACTTTCTAAGGATCAGCCAGGAAGGATGATTCCTTCGGGCCATCAGGCTCAAGCTTTTTCACCCATCAAGCGCAAGAAGCAGTCAATTCGGCTATGGACAAGAGACTTTTCAAAGCAGGTAAAGACACTGCCCAAAAGAATACGATGTCCAGCAGCGAGAAAATACATGTAGCGGAGAAAGAAGTAGCACCACCTTCGTATCTAGAGCCTGTATCAACGACGGCACCGCCGCCGATAGCATCACCATCAACGTCTTCACCACTCGTCCAAAGCCCGGTAAACAACTGCCGCCGCCCCAAAGGCTCCTCATTCTTCAGAGCCCTTACATCAGGCTTCCGCAAACACGATCCATTAGTCTCAACGCTCTGTCAATCCGCTGCTCGTGGAGACGAGCAACAAGTCTCCGGCCTGATCTCCCAAGCTGCAAACGTCAACGGTCGAAACGAAGACGGGGATACACCACTAAAATGCGCCATAAAATACGATCAAGTTGGAACCGCTTGGCTTCTTTTACAAGCGGGAGCTCAAAGCAACAAGCTACCGCCCTTATTCAAAGCTGCTTCTGTTGGAAGTCTCAAGATCGCCAGGATGCTCATCGATTCTGGGGAGAGTGTACACAGTAAATCAAAAACCGGGAGGCCTTACTTTGTTGATGTTGTTGACAAAGGGAACCTGGATGGTATCAAGTTCCTCCTTGAGAATGGCGCTCCAGTCAATTCAAAGAACGAGAGACGAGAGGAAGTAATTGTCCAGGTCGTCAAAGCAGACAACATCGAGCTCACCCGTCTTCTTCTTGGCCACGGCGCCAACGCTAGTGCAAAGGATGCAATTGGCGAGGAGATCATTGTACACGCTGTCAAAAAGAACAATATCGAACTAGCCAATATCCTCCTCGATCACGGCGCCGACCCTAATGCCGCAAATGCGGTTAAACAAACCATTCTCTACGCAGCTGTTCAGAGTGGTAATGCTGACATGGTTGGACTGCTCCTTGACAGGGGCGCAAGCGCGAAGTTGTTGAATATTCTTGGAACCAGTATCCTGGAGGCTTCCATTGGAATGAAGAGATTCCAGATCGTGAAGAAGCTCATCGAGGGCGGCGCCGATGTTGATGGCACAGATGCGCATCAGCAACCGATTCTCATCAAGGTTATCAGGAACCCATACTTGAGTAACGACGAGAAAGTCGAGGTTATGAAGATGCTGATGGCGAATGGTGCGAGTCCCGAAACGGTTGATATCATCTTTGGTCTGCCAGCTATCTGTCACGCTGTCGAAATGCCAAGTACCCCGGTGGTGCAGGCCCTCCTAAGCCGAGCCGTCAACACAAACGTTCGCATGCTCTCCGGCCAAACGCTCCTCACATACTCCATCGACGTCAACCGACAGAACACTGTTGAAGCCCTGTTGGCACAAGGTGTTGATGTCAATGAGGTCGATGGACTGAACAGAACGCCTTTGAAGCTGGCTCTGACGAGACTTGACTATAACTTGACAGCGAAGTTGATGGATTATGGTGCTGATCCTACAGCGAAAGATAATCAAGAAGCTATCAAGTTCATCAAGGCTGTTGGGAGAAAGGATTTGCAGGAACTCCTTCGACCAAGAGAAGTTGAGGCAGGTCCCTCAACTCCAGCTATTCGGCATGAGGTCGAGTTGCCTACGTCTGAGGCTCCACCGCCTTCGTATGAGCTTGTGGCTGGAAAGGTCTAAATAGACAAGGCGTTTGGTATTTCACTTATGAAAAAAGATATGTTGAACCATTCTACCAAGAACCTCCATCTCAATGAACGCAATGTATATGTCTCGTGTTAATGACGCAAAATGTCAGCGAGCATGATGACATATCACGGCTCAGCGTCATCGAAGCCGAAAACTCCAAATCCGACGGCCTTAGGTTGATAGTCGCATGTTACCCCTCAAACGACGTCCTCAGGTTGATAGTCTTGATTAGAAATCCAGCTCCAGACTTTTCCTATTTATATATCTCAATTATCCCTCAATTCATTTTCCTCTTCTTCACTCTACTCAATTCACTCATCGTCATTGATTCCTCCAATTTCTTCTTCCTTTCCCAATATGAGTTCCAGCGACATTGCTGCAAATGGATGGACTGCTGTCCCAGTCGATGCCGGAAAGATCTTTGGCAATAGGCCTTATATCAATGAGCCCGAGTACATTGACGTTCAAAGCATTGAGTTTCCGGATGATGACCCAATCGTCAAGAAGACACAGCAACATGCCAAAGATAAGTTGTTGAAGCAGACTTATAACCATTCAATGAGAGTTTACTACTGGTGTAAGTCAACGGCAGCCTCGTTTGAATTGAGCTTTGTGTACTAATAAATATTCCCATCAGCGACTGTCATTCTTCGACAGCAATTTCCAGAGTATGCGGATGCCCTGTCCCCTTCAACTTTGGCTTTAACATGCCTCCTCCATGACATCGGCACCACCGACGAGAACATGTCTTCTACCCGTCTCTCCTTCGAGTTTCAGGGCGGCTTCCAAGCTCTCAACCTGCTTCAGGATACCGGCTCTACCAAAGACCAAGCCGAAGCCGTTTGCGAGACTATCATCCGC